AGTTATTCTATGTGCTGGGTCAATACCTGCTTTATCTGCTGGTGGTATCTGCCTGTGCTCGGCAGCCTTGCTTCTATCAGTGTGCCCCAAGGCAGCTGTGGCTACGATGTAGCTCAACACCACCAGTGTGTGAATGTGTGTGGAAGCTTCTACGAGACCAGCAGGGCGAATGGCACGGCCTGCTTTTTCTGGCTTAGCAACGAGTCACCTGTGATGGAGAGGATAAATATCCACCAACCTGGAGGCAGCGATGGCTTATGTGAAGAGAATGTTGTCACGAAGATAAACAGTTGAGAACTTTAGATCTGATGCTGTCGTGTTGTTTACGGTGTGCAGGTTATCTCCAAGTTATGATGGGTGAAGGGGGGCAATGATGGACCTGTGTGATGCTGGGTGTTTGGTGTTTGTGTTGTCTTTAGAATTGTACATCTTTTATAAACGACTGGATATGCATCTAGATTCACATGTTGCAATTCGATTTAGAAACCATATCCTTTTATTCTAGACAGATTCGATTTGAGTTGAATCCACTGAAACAATTTACGTCTACACTTAATATTTTTGTAGATATTTTATACAATAAGGATGCCAATCCTGTTAAAGTGACAATATTATCTTTTCACATAAGTAAAAGGCTACATATCCCAAAGCATTGTGGCTTTATGGCTCTTGCAACAACAAGAAAACACAGCATAACAAAATCTCATGTCAAAGTATTTGTTTTTAGACCCTAACCAACAAAGAGATGCTGGCACTTTGGACAGTAACACCATAAGTAAACAGCACAGAGTAAGAGTAAAGAGCAACGTTTGAGCCTGAGCATGGTGTTTTGAACACTAGAGGTAGGAAACAATGTAAACAAGTCACACACCTATAAACAAGCTAAGTAACAGTAACATTATAATGATGGGGGTCGTTCATTTTAAAATATAGCCTCAGGCCTGGGGAGCCAGAGTGGATGGACAAAGCAGCAACCACCTTCTTTTCTCAACACTTAACACGGTAATGAGCGCTTCATGTCAAAAACAATAGAAAATAAATAAATACTGTATGTATGAAATAAACCAAACAAGCTTTTTGTCCTGTGAGAAGTAGGGATGCACCGATCAGGTTTTTTGCTGCTGATCACCGATCACCGATACCGATCACGTGGATTGGCCAGAAATTTTCTACAACATTATAATGAGTGTTACAAACTACATAATCTGTGAATAAAGGAAATGCAACCTAATCTAAAATGGTCTGTTAGGGTTGTCACGGTGTGAAAATTTAACCTCACGGTTATTGTGACCAAAATTACCACGGTTTTCGGTATTATCGCGGTATTTTTTTTTAAACGTGCTACATTTTCACACAATTAAATAAACCCTGTGTGTCAGGAAATATTGTCCTCAGTTTGTGTCTAAATTTTGCCTAAAATGTGTTATTTTGTAATTATGTTGTTTATTTGTTTACATTTTTCCCCTTTAGTCTTTAAAATATCAATATTTGCCCATAACTTCTTATTTTGTCTGTTTGATGTCATCATTTTAAAAATATTAGTTCAGATGATACTCAGTACTCAAGTAGCCTTCTAATCAGATACTTTTTTACCCTTACTTGAGTAATAAACCCTATATCAGGAAAATATTGTCCTCGGTTTGTGTCCTTCCAGTGAGCTTTGCAGATGTGGGGAAATGTCATCAGGCAGTAATCATTGTTAAATTCATAATTATTCTCGGAGAGAGACCAACTCTTATCTGCCCCTGGGAGCCCCGTAATGCATAGCGTCATTTCAACATGGCGGTGTCCGCGACACGGTTTATATGCAGGTAGCGGCGCTGCGGCTGCTTTATATAGCGACTCGTTGCATTCTCCCTCAACCCAAAACCTCGGATCACGCATTTTAGCTAAAACGCTAACGCTAACTTGCCTTGCCTTGACTGCAGAGTTGTGGGTGATGGTCACGCAGATGTGTCATGAGATTTGAAGCATTGCTGCCTTTCACAGACTCTTTCTGCACGTGCTGCAAACAGGATAGCCGTCTTCTATAAACCCCCTCGGCATTCTTCAAATATCTAAAATATGCCCGACTTTGTCTTCTTTGAGGGAGAATAAATGTCCTCCTGAGCGCTGCCGTCTCCTCCTTTGACCATTATTTCAGCTTTAGCTTCAAGAAAGTTTTTGTTGTGAACAACAAAGCGTGCATGTGCCGCCGGCAACTTCAGTCGATGATACGGTGGCTGGTAAGGGTCACCGCGCCTACACCGCAGCCACGGTAAACCCACCAAGATAATAGTTTTTTAAAAAACAAGACGGTTATTTTTATTGTCAACCTTTTTTTTACCGGGGTTTACCACTACACTGGTTACCGTGACAACCCTACCTGATCGGTCTGCTTTGATCTATTTTGAAAACTCCGATCAAAACCGATAGGGGCGCTATCGGCCGATTACGATCAAATGCCGATCCATTGGTGCATCCCTAATGAGAAGTACTCACCTTCTTCTCTTCCTGGCACTCGCAGAGTACAGATGCTTCTCTTTTTGCTCCCTTATCTTTTTCCCAAGGCTCTTTGTCCTGTCTGCCCACAGAGCGCTTCTCTGCATTTCTTCTGAAAAAACCCTATTTTTAACTATGGATTTGATAAATTTGTCATTCAACGCGATTGATAAGATTTTTTCAACAATGAGAACAGAGCAGGGGGCTCCCACATGCCCGCAGGGGACACACCCGGTGGGGTATATGCTGGATTCCTGGAAGGAGTGGAAGATCGTATGCCTCTCCCAGCTGTCCATTGAGGATATCGAAGACATGTGGATATTTGGCCTGATGATCACTGGATTTCTCCTGATTGGTGTGGGAGGATATCTGGTTTTCTGGAAATTTGGGAAGACGGGAGCAATTGGAGGGCGACCCGCTCCCACGGAAAGCACCGTCCGTGTGGAGACCTCACAGACTGGGACGTTACTCGAGGTGAATCGTAAGCTGGACAATGTTCTAGCTGCGATACCTGTATTAGTGCACAAAATGGATGTCATCTCGGAGAGGGTCACTGGACGGTGTAGACAAGTTTTAAAAACCTAAATTGGCTTCACTGAAGGACTGGAATGATCAGTAAAGATTGAAGGCAGAGAGGAAAATTATCTCAGCCTGACCCAAACAAAGTCTTGTTTTCCGAATCTGACGCCAGAGCAGCCTCGAGATGCTAACAACAAACCCCCACGAAGGAATGCCCCCCCGCCTTCGGATTGGTGGACTTCAACCTGGCGAGGTCATCAACCTGCAGGAGTCAATGTGCTCTGCGCTTCTCCCGAGATCTCCCTCCCACAGATTGGTAGTGCTGCCCGTAAAAGTCAGCAACGCTCTACACAGTTCACAAATAATAGTCGAGCCTTCCTATAAAACACAGAAACGGTCCACACATTATCTGCACTGTCACCTACCTCACGCTGTTGTTCTTCACGGCCTCCATTTTCCACCTAACAACAGCAAGACACACAGGAAGTGAACAAAACCCGCCCGTATGATCTCGAACCGATGCGATCCTCCCCAGCCCTTACTGACCCAAATGTGTAAGCGGCTACAGAGTTTCAGGCAGCTAGTTTGTATTTGTTAAGTTGTAAATAAAGTGGCTTAAAAAAGTTCAGTGGGCAGCTTGCTGGTGCACGGGTGGTGCCACCAACCGATTCAAAGTCTCTCAATTCCTGATCCACGACTCTGCAACGGATTCATTCCTATTGATTGAGAAGGCTGCTACGGATGCCGCCGTATCTCTCACTTGTTAAACTGAATTTCCGGTCACATTGGTCACAACCCTAGTGGAAAGGCGATGTTTTGCTTTTTAATCTGTGTGTTGATGATTTGGTCTGGTGCGGGATTCTGGGAGCATTCAGCTCAGAGCGGTGTGCTCTCTGTCCAGAATTAGGCCGGACTTGGATCCGGCATACGAGCGTTGCAGATGGTCACCTACCACACTTCTATGCTTGCTCTGGACTTGCCTGACACTACATGGACTTGGGTGATCTATTTTTGATAAATTTCCAGAAAATGTGGGCCCCCTCTGAGCCCATGTCCTTTGGCTGCTGTTTGGAGTGGTTGCCCCTTTGGACAGATGCCAGTTGGATACGGTTGCCTTTTGTGTTATGTCTAGTGTCATTCTGTTTTTACTTTTATTTGTTTATTTTTTATAATTGATCACATGTAACAGAGTGGGTGGGGATGGGGGGTTTGATCTTTGTTCACTGTTAAAAGAAACTCAGAAAATTTCAATAAAAAGATTTTGTTCAAAAAATAAACTCACCGGCTGAGCTGCCAGGCTCCCATCTCCACAATGCTCTCATGCTAGGGTCGGACTTTCCTTAAAATTGTGACGTTTCCTGTCAACCTTTACTTTATGAATCACAAAAGTTTACATAGAAAAGCACCTATGTAGTTTTCAGACCTTGTTTTGTGCGTAAGCAAGTTTTATAAATGACCCCGGGGCTTTCATCTGTCATGAATCATGAGGCCCGTCCCCTCATCGCCTGGGAATGAAGCTGGGTTTGTTGTAGAAGAGCTTAGCCCGGTAAAAAGAGGCTGAGCTCAGGATTTAGCCCGGTCCTTCGATGGTACCCATCATCTGGCTGACTGAATTCCCTGTGAAGAGTGGCTCCACTGGGAGGTTCTGTGTAAACGACCTGACTATATAAACTCAGAGTTAGCCAACCAAAGTCAAGGGGCACATACCCAGGAGTCAAAACCTTAAGTGATCAACAGCTGTAGTGGTAACGTGCTGAAAAGACTGAGTCATGTTGGACTTTGTGTGTTTTAATCCTTTGGTCCTGTTTGGATTGGTCACCAGAGGGTCTGGAGGTGAATGTGGGACAGATTCTAACAACTTTTTTATTTTTGATAGTAGCAGCAGCTCCCTCTGGACTCCAGCTGTGCTGTTGGCATGTTTGAACATTAAAGTACAAGCAGCTGATCCTGTGTGAGTATCTGAAATACCTTTGAGCATGCTACTCTTCTGGCTGCTCTAGGTTCCTGTTGGAACGGAAACCGATGGCATGAACATTCTTGGTCTGGTTCTGTTTGCCATGGTGTTTGGAGTGGCTCTTCGGAAACTTGGGGAGGAGGGAGAGGAACTCATTCGCTTCTTCAATGCCTTCAATGAGGCGACCATGGTTCTGGTGTCCTGGATCATGTGGTGAGTTGAAACAGGTGCTGTTTGTGTCAGTATGAATCAGACTGAACGTCCCCACTGGTCTTCACTTTCCCTCCAGCTGTAACTCCTGACCTGTCGTGCTTCTCAGGTACATCCCGTTTGGTATCGTGTTCCTTGTGGGCAGCAAGATTGTGGAAATGGAAGATGTGGGTCTTCTGGTCACCAGTTTGGGAAAGTACATCTTTGCTTCGATCCTGGGCCACATCATCCATGGAGGTGTTGTCCTACCCCTCATCTACTTTGGCTTCACACGTAAGAACCCATTCAGCTTCCTATCAGGCCTCATCACGCCCTTCACCACGGCCTTCGCCACCTGCTCCAGGTAAGGTTTCTCAGGACTGTTGCCTGACTAACAAAGTCAACAAATCATTTCACCTCATGTCTTTTTCACCAGTTCAGCTACTCTTCCCTCCATGATAAAATGTGTGGAGGAAAACAACGGTGTGGACAAACGCATCAGTCGCTTCATCCTTCCTATCGGGGCCACGGTCAACATGGATGGAGCAGCCATTTTCCAGTGCATTGCTGCTGTTTTCATAGCTCAGCTCAACAACACAGAGCTGAACGCTGGCCAGATCTTCACCATCCTGTGAGTTCTGGAGTTGTATGTCCCAGTCTTTACTCTGGAAGCAGCTTCATTTGATCAGATCTGATGTATTTGTATCCAGGGTGACGGCCACAGCCTCCAGCGTCGGTGCAGCTGGCATCCCAGCCGGCGGCATCATCACCATCGCCATCATCCTGGAAGCCATCGGCCTGCCGACCAACGACCTGTCCCTCATGCTGGCTGTTGACTGGATTGTGTGAGTAGGGCTCATTCACATACTAGCTAACAGCTTGTGTGCTCCTGAATGCCCCCCATGCTGAGCTGGTCCGGACCAGGCTGCTGGGGGACAGTATTTACCACCTGACCCTCAGAGCTGCTGTTGGTCACACAGTCAGTGAGATTACACGAGCGTTTCCGCTGATCTATGGCAATATGAAGGTAAAACCGGGAGCCCTGTAAGACCCAGCCCATCAAAAATAGCCAGAACATTGTGAGACGCTCATTAACCCTTTTTACAAAATCCACAGAAGTTTCTTCTAGGGATGTCCCGATCACGTGGTTTCAGACTGATCGGGACTCAGGCTTTACTTCCCGATCCGGACTCGGATACTGGGTTCATATTACAGGAGAGCAACTTGGTTCTCCTTAAAGGTTGTCAGGCTCCCCTGGTGCCCTTAACTTACACACCCAGAGGGAGCAAAAAAAAAGATCCAGTTTCTACCTACATTATATTATTTATATGGACTCAGCGTAGCAGAGATTCTTTTGAGCAGAGCGGCAGGCAGGCCGCTGATTATTCATGAACTCCAGCTGCGCTCTGCACACGGCCACAGTAACATTTTCTAAGTTTCTAAGTGGCGTCACCAAAAATATATAATTAACACACAGTCACTCGTATCCGTTCATTTTCTTTCTGGTAAGTTCTGTCTGTATTTGAGCATGACTTGTGGACGCGCTCGCGCTGCCCCCGCTGCAGTGCTCGTCACTGGCGCAGCTGGGCAGCGCAGCACACACTCCACTTTTTTTGCGGTCAATAGAGCAATTTGATCTGCTAGCTAAAAAATTACTTGTGAGGTGGAAAAAGAAGGGAGCAGGCAGGAGTTTTTCTGGAGGACTGGGAGATGCAGGAAGATCAGAGACAGACAGGACAGGAAGACAGGAAAATAAAAACCAAGAAAACAAAACAAAGTTCTTTAAAAAATAGAATGTAGGTAGATTGATCCCACTACACATTTGTACCTGTATAAAGCAATAATTTATCAGCATGTAGTATTTATATAGTTGATACAATTCAGATCATCTTCAAAACTCCGTCCCATGCCCAGGGACGTATCTAAGCATTTTGGGGGTCGAGGCAAAATAGACCCCTGCCAGGTATTTGAAGTTGAAGTGCTTTCTGTTTTTATATTAGACTTTCTATATTTGCAATAAAATCCAAAAGTGAAGAATTTCTGTAATTTATTACTTGATTGTTCAAGCTACCTCACAGAAGTGATCTGTTGTTCAAAATTCTAATAAAAAGGTAATTAAATAAAAAATAAGGAACATTCTGGAACAGTTTCTTCCTTTTCTTTTTATTATTGTTTTTTAAATCGGGACATTGACCATTACTTCCTCAGAGGTGGGGCAGGTCAGTCGAGTGAAGCCCAGTGGCAGGTTGCTCACAACAGTCCACAGGGTATCAGAACCCCAGATGAAGCTCAATCAGACACGGAGCTACAAACGGCCATGAGTCTGGAGCCCATCGAAGCACAGATAGCTGTAGAGAGGAAGAGGAAGGGACGGAAGTCTCAAATCTTGTGGCCTAAATCCTGCCAGAAAAAGGAGTTGGAAACCGCAGATACAGACCTAGTGCATCTCCTGGAGGGCCTGACAGGATGAGTGGAAAGGAAGTTGGACAAGATTGGCGAGATCATTTATAACTACGGAGCAGAGAGATTTGGGGTAAAAAACACAAACCTTAGGACTCAGAAGGACCGATTAGTAAATCTCAAGTCCCTGAGGCAACAAGAGATTGAATGACTGGTAAAATAAAGAATGAATTTGAGAAAACAATGGAAGAAAGCTACAGAAGAGGAAAAGAAAGAAATTGAGGCACTACAGGGTGACATCAAGCAGCGAATTACAACACTGAGAAGAGCAGAATGTCTTAGGAAACAACAATAAGAAGAAACAACAAACGAGGACTGCCTTTTACAGAGATCCCTACAAATTTGTCAAAGACCTTTTTGTCAAGGAGAAAAACGGGACCCTAAAAACATCTGTAAAGGAACTTGAGGAGTACACGAGGAAGACCTACTCCGACAATCAAAGGCATGTGCCAGCCAGTATTCCGAACGATATGCCGCCAGTTCAACCACCCGAGCACCAGCTGGAAACAACGTGAAGGTGTGGCCAGTAGAAGTGGGATGCAGAGGTTTTGAAGCCAGTTCCATAATAAGGCTTTTGAAAGAAGTAGGAATCAGAGGCCAGGCCCAAAGGAGGGCAACCAAAGAGCTCGCCACTGCAGCGGAATAGAGCAGTCGCTGGCTGTGGCTGAAACAACGGGATGCAATTTGGGCTGCCAAATGATGACATGGTGCTTGCGAGTGACACGCACCTGGGTCTGATCAACCAGGGGCGGGCCAACCCCGGCAGAGGGTGTATTGTGATAAGTGGCAGAAACACCCAATGAGGTCGGGGCACACAACTGAAGATGTGTCGCGCCGGTTTCACAACGAAATCTATGGCAAAGCTCACTCCACCAAGCTTTCATTTGATTGTTGTGCTGAAAGGGATCGTTAACAACTAGTCCTAGGAATGTTCTTGATCATGCTGTTGAGAAAGAGGTCTCAGAAACTCAAGTAGCAAATATGATACAAGTGCATTGATGAAGAACGTTCCACTCTGCTACAGTAGGTGGCGACATGCCCATCTCCTTCTGGACCATGGGTCCCACACTGCCAAAGTAACGAATGGGAGTCTATGGAGGGATGAAAGTTATCTTCTGATCCCGTTTGATGGGTGCCATGAATTTAACACATGATGTCCGTGTGTTAAAAAAAAAACACATTTTGATGCCAACAAAGGGCTTTTTTTACTATAAGCAGCAAAAGTTATTTTAGGTTTAGTGTGAAACAGGGGCGGATTTAGGACTGAAGAAGATCCGGGGCTTAACACACACGCGCGCGCACACACACGCGCGCGCACGCGCACACACACACGCATGCGCGCACACACGTGACACGCACTAGTCAACATCATATATATTTGTCTTGTACCACATAATGTTTAATCTGAAGCTACATATTCAGCATATTCAGGGCAGAGTATTGTTCCTGTTAGTGTTTAGTGTGAGATGATAGTAAATATTCCCATTCTTTCTCCAACAACTTTACCTGATAGTAAGCTAACTTTAGGCAAACCAGCAGCACAACAAATATTTTCTAATAAGACTCACAAACCTGAGTCAACACCAGTCTCATCAGAGCTGGGGTTCTGTCGTTGTACTTTTGGTCTAAAAAAACGTCCTTATATCCATCTTCACTCATGCGTTTCAGAGACTGCAGAAGCTAGCTGCTGAAGGGCTTCTCTTCAGTCTCAGGTAAACTGTATACTGACTAAGTAGCCTAGTGGTAGAGTGTCTGCCCTGAGATCGGGAGATCAGGGGTTCGACTCCTGGTCGGGTCATACCAAAGATTTTGAGAAAAATGGGACCCAATGCCTCCCTGCTTGACACTCAGCATTGGATTGGGGTTGGATTGGGGGATTAAACCACCAAATAGTTCCCGAGCGCGGCGTGTCTGCAACTCAGGGGATGGGTCAAAATCGGAGAATAAATTTCACCACACACCTGTGTGTGTGACGACTAAATGGGACTTTACAAACTACTGCCAGCTGCGCCCTCTCTGTGTGACTTTGGTACTGCATGTTACTTCCGCGATTTAGATCCGGGGCTTATCATGAAAGATCCGGGGCTTCAGCCCAAGTAGCCGGGCCTAACGCCGCCCCTGGTGTGAAAGGACATATAGGATCAAGGAGAAGGCTGAGTTTAGCGAGCTTCGAATCGTTCTTCCAGGACGACAGAAGGAGCGTTAAAAGTAGAGAAAACCACCATAAATCTGGCCATGTGGAAAGTAGCAGCTACCCTGGGGGACAGCTGATTCAGTGGTGACGTCATATATGCCACGTCTGATTTGTTGCTGTTTTTAATTACAAATTTCTCTGGTAAAAAAAAATCTGAAAGTACGTGACTGGCATGGTTGAAACACATCATTACTGTTCATTTAAATTAAAGTAAAGCTCATGTGTGGTTTAAAGCAAATTGTATTAGAAAATAGCTCTTTTAGCCCCGTTCAGCCGACCAGAAGGGGAGGAGCCTAAGGCAAACGCTGGGAGGAGCCTAAGGCAAACGCTGGCAGGAGAAACGCAGATAGAGTAAAAAAAAAAAAAGAAGAAGAAACTTTTTTATTTAGCGCCTCAAGATAAAAACAAATCACAACACGCTTCACTAGAACAATAAACATAAAAAATGATGATTGGAAGATATCATAAAAATGGGGGGAAAAGGAAAAATTAAGGTTGAAAAATGTTATTTAAATAATGAAAAATAAAAGTAACATCAGAATATGAACAAAGGTCAAGGGACTGGATGACAAGGCTGCAGCCATGGACGTAGTTTTGACTTTAGAATTGGGGTGAACATGCCCCCCCCCCCCCCCCCCCCCCCCCCCAAAAAAGCTACGTCCATAGCTGCAGCCCAGCTGGTTTGGTACGTACTGTACTGTTTGATGGTGTTACACGTGTAACTTTGTAGTGTTGACATAATTAGATATTGCCACTTGCAGAAGGTGAGTGTGCAACTCGGCTGAGCTGTTCACAAGCAGAGGAAGTCGGGTTCTGGGTGCTTCAGCTCCGTTAGAGCAGACAACACGTTCGCATGCATTTGAAAAACTACTGCAGTTGAACTCCATCAGTCTGCTTTCAGACGCTGCATGTAAACACACTGAGCTCTTATAATGAGACGCTTATTTGATTTCCTTGCTGAGAAGTTGTTTAATTTTAATAAAGAGAAAGGAAAAAGTTCAAATTAGAGTTATTAATCAAAGGGATGTGCTTGTTTGTTTTCAGGGATCGTACCACCACAGTGGTGAATGTGGAGGGGGACGCCCTGGGTGCAGGAATCCTCCACCACATCAACCAGCAGGAGATGAAGAAGCAGCAGCATGAAGACAAGGAGCTGGAGGTGGTGCGGGTGGACGCTGTGGCCAACGTTGAGGCAGAGGAGGAGACGTCGCCGCTGGTCATGCGTCAGACCAAAGTGTTGGAGGGCATGCCGGAAGCCATCGAGTCTGTCCTGTGAACCCAGGCCTCTCTTTCTCCCTCACCATTTAAACTTCAACACCTCTGACACTGATGCTGTGGGGCACCAGTCTGACCCGGTGTCATTCAAATCACCAACAACCACTCTAAAAAGATCAATAAATGTAAAAACCCATGCTGGTTTGGCTTGTGAGGACGATGACTGCAGCAGAACACATTTAGGGATTATCCATTCATAAAATATTTTTAATTCCATCTTGAGTTGGTTCGTTCAACAGCCAGAGCCGTGATCGGTCCAAATCATTGCCGTAAAGGTTCAGGGGCTGGTGGTGTTACATTAGTGTGAGACACTTCCTGCCTTTGCTGTTTAGTGTTATTCCGTCAAGTGCTGGTGGGTTTGATGGGATGGTGTTTTACTTTGAGGTCCGAAACTCAAACCTGTTTGTGTAGCTGGTGTTTGCTGTTAGCACGCCCTGTCAAACATTAACGCTCCAAATGAAAAGTCAAGTACTTGGTGCATTTAGAGATAGCTGATGCACACTGACTCACTATGTTAACACACCATACAGGCGGTGCCGGGGCACGTGCTGGTGGACTTTTACTAACAGAAGTTGTTTTAAGTGTCAGCTCCTGTTTAGCACCGTGCCAGCGGCACTCTCTGCTGTAGCAGCTGTTACCAACACGCTGGTTCCCAGAGGTCAGCTGCCACCGCGGTCACGGGAGTTTAGTTTGGTCATAGTTTACTCGTTGACTAGTCTGTTAAACTGAACCTTTTCAGCCGATTTTCAGCTCGGACTGCCATGGTTAGCTAACTGGAAACAAACCGAAGACCGGTTCTGGTGATGAATCATTCACTGATGCCTTCTGTGTCAGAATTGTGTGAGGCATCTGAGAGGACACAGTTAAAGGCTCTAAGACCCAACGTCCTGCGTCAACACACTCCGGTCCAGGAGAGTATGAGGGTTCAGTCCACTTGAGGTCTTTCCCACTGAAGCTTGTGATGTTCAAAACTCTGGAAATGGACCAAAATGTTAATCTGTCCTCCCGACTCTGAGGTGATTCTGCCTGTAGTTATATTTATTCTATTTGTTGGGGGGGACTAAACTGGACACTAGCACATGCTAATACAATGTTACCATGCCATGTCAGTGTCTGCACTTAGGTGCATTCACAGTTGTTTCATGGCTTGACTCCTATCTGTGTTCTGATTGGTTAACCAGCACAGGTCGGTCAGTGTGATGGTCTGTAGGTGTGTCCCACAGCAGCTCCCTGTCTGTGTCTTTGGGATTAAACCTGAGCTGAGCCAGACCCGTTCCAGGGCTGTGCTTCCCCCTGGTGGTGGTTGTGGTGTGAAACACCAACCCAGCCTCTACGACTGGTTCTGATTGGCTGATGGTAGACATGGCTGCTTCAGCTGGGACATATGACGAGGATGGCAAGTAGTGTTGTGTTTCCGTGTTTAGATTCATCCAAGTTTCATGCTGGGATGTGTTAAACATCCAGAACAATCCTATGTAATTATTACACATTTATATGTTTGATGATGATTTATTGTAATTGGTTTAAGCTCTTTATTATTTCTGTAACCAGTTCTTTCAGCCTCAGATCTTTCTAATGTTACACTTTTTAAAGAAATGCTTTTGGATGCTGATAACCAGTCACCAGCATGTGTTGTAGGTTTGTTTTCTGGTTTTTGGTGATAACCACTGTATCATATTAGTGTCTAACACTGTCCAGCTGTCTCTCAGCTCCTGCTGTCTGTCCACAATAAAGACTCTTCTCATTCTTATCAGATGACATCAGTGTTTTTCAAACCATTTCGGAAGACATGTCCCAGTTTCAGGACAATTACAAGAACCATGGTAATAATGAGGTGACAAGGAAGTCAGCCACATAGAGTTGGGGTGGTCCTGGGCCCTCCTTTATCGACCGTACTTACGCACAGGTCTGAGTTTTTTGTGTGTAGGAACTAATGTACGCATTGTGTGGAAATCATCATTTTGTGCTCGTGGAAATTCCTAAATATTGCACAGCAACAACCTGACCAGCATGCCAACTTTCACCCTGATTAGCACTAAAACACTGAATGACGTAGTAAAGACCCTAAATTCCTCTACCTGCTTTCTGGACAGCCTGTCTACAAACTTCTTTAAAAATGTTTCTAGTTGCCTGAAAGCAGAGGTACTGGAAATTGTTAACTGCTCTTTAATGTCAGGAATTTTTCACAAATCACTGAAAACTGCTGCTGTGAAACCCCTTCTAAAGAAGAGGACACTAGATCCTCAGTGTTGAACAATTACCGACCGATCTCTAATCTCCCTCTGATTGGAAAATTAATTGAAAAGGCGGCAATAATCCAAATAAACAACTATTTAGAGTCAAATAACATTATGGGCGGTCTTCAGTCAGGCTTTAGACAGCACCACTGCACAGAGACTGCACTGATCAAGGTATTAAATGATATTCGTCTCAATACTGATTCAGATAAAGCATCTGTCCTGATGACGCTCGACCTCAGTTAATTTGTAAATCAAACGTTCCCGGAACGCAAATACTGACGTCAAACCAAAGTTCACTAAAGGCAAGACAGATGCTGGAACACTAACGGGTGGGGTGGGGGGTGGGGGTGGGGTTGGGGGGGATGACAAGTATATAAAATTGCACCCATATTTTCTAAGTTAACACACAAGCTGCAATAAATGGTGAAATGGAAATGTGCGTCTTATTGAGAGAGACAGGAACATTATATGGTGTCAGAGTCAGCAGACCAAGTGCTTCAATAACAGAGCGAAGATGGATTCGTCAGGAGTTCCCATGCCGCAGATGGATTAGGATGCAGCGAACCTTCCCGACGCATGGTGAAAATTCACACAGCATGTAAGACTTAGGTTTTCAGGCCCGCTAGCTGGCAAGGAGGAAGCGACCCAGTGCAGCTATCTTCTCTTGTGGGTAGGAGAAAGAGGCAGGGACATATAAAATACCCAGGTGCTAACAGCTGACGAAGCTAAGAAGCTACAGTGCTACTATGATAGATTTGAAGCAAACCTCATGCCAAAGACTAACACAATTTTTGCTCGCTACAAGTTCAGCAAGAGGCTACAGGGTGAGTGTGAGCCTTTTGAACATTTTTAAACGGACTTAAAGCTACTAGTTAAGCAATGTGGCTTTGCTAATGGCGACAAGATAGAGCGGGACAGGATTGTTTTTGTAACAAACTCTCCTCAGGTGAGGGAGAAACTGTTAAGCCAAGGCTCAGACTTGACACTAGACAAGGCTATTGACATTGCCCGCTCATATGAAATCGCTCAAGATCAGCTAAAGGCCATGATTGCTCCGCAAACAAGCATACAATCACCAATGGCGGCGCATGCAGTTTTCTCCAAGTGGCGGCAGACACAGCAAAAAATACGTGATTGGGCCACGGCGGCACATCAAGAAAGCCTGCGGACGCTGCGCACAGCAAAACGGCAGCAAGGAGGATTGCCCTGCTATTGGACGTAAGTGCAGAAAATGTCAGCCTGAATCAATTTGCCAAAGTCTGTAGATCAGCACCAGATAAGCCAAACCCCGTATATGCAGTGGAGCCTAACTCCAGCGAGACGGAGGAGCTATTTATAGACTCAATCACCAAAATTAATGAGGGAGAAACTAACAAGCAAGCTTTTGTAGAGCTGGAGGTGGAATCACGCAGCATCAAATTCAAGCTAGATACCGGAGCTACCACCAACGTCATTCCAGCCAGACTCTTTAAGAGGCATTTTCCATGCGTTAAACCGTACCCAGCCAAGCAACTGCTATCTGGATATGGAGGTGACAAGCTTGACATTAAAGGGACGTGTGAGCTCAGATGCAGATGGAAGGGCATGGACAGTACATTTGCATTTGATGTCACAGAAACATCAGCTCCTCCCATTCTAGGACTAAGAGCATGCCTTGACCTTAATCTAGTAAAGTTAGTCATGTCGGTGGCACCAACCAGCATTATGGAGGAGTTTGCTGACTTATTCAAGGGCATTGAAAGATTCCCAGGAGAATGCAGCCTACACATAGACCCATCTACTACTCCTGTTGTGTAGAAAATTGACGAAACATACAGTGGGTTGAACGGTGTTGTGGCCATTGTAGATGACATATTAGTGCTAGGCCGAACCAGGGAGGAGCATGATGCCAACCTCCGAGCCATGCTGGAGCAGACAAGGGAGCGAGGAGTACGCCCAAACCCCGAGAAGAGCATCATAGGTGCCTGCGAGGTGAGCTACTTCGGGCACAAACTGGCACGTGAAGGCATACAGCTGGACCCAAAGAAAATACAGGCCATAAAAGACACCAGAGAACAAAAACAAACTGGAGACTGTTCTGGGAATAATAATAATAATAATAATAATAATAAGTCCTGCAAAGTTCAACCCCCACCTCCACGTGGTGCAGGGCGGGCAATGTAGGCATGACAAGCCAGTCATGTCTCAGCTAATGGGGCTCTGGCAACATTTCACAATGATGAGTCAAACAATCAGAAAACCATACCGCATCACTCGTCGCGCGGGTCAACAAGGAGCGCGTCATTCAGCAGGGGACCAGGCTGATGGCGAAAGGTGTGCTACTGGAAAAAACTCCACCCACCCCCAGGCATCTGTGGACCAGCTATCCGAAGTGATCCTTCAACCAGCCGCCCATGATGTAAAACTTACCACAAATGAAAACGAAAGTAAAAGGAAGAAATGGACTAGAGAGGAGTATAAACAAGTTATGGAAGTGTACATCACAGCTCAACTAAAACCATCAGGAGAGAGCAACACTAAACAAACCTTTACTCTATGGAGAAATGCAAACCCCACATCAAGACCCAACATGGACCCCAACAAACTGTCCAATGTAAGAAGGGACATCATCAAACAGAAAAGACTTACAGATGCAGAGGTGGAAGCTATTAGGAGAAAGGTCAGACATACTGTAGAAGAAAATGAAAACACAGTGGAAGACGAGGGCATGAAGAACAGGAATATAAAATCAGGAATGAAGAAGACCAACCTCAACAGCAAGAAGTAGATGGAGTGACTGAAGAGGCTACCAACAGAACATATGAAGAACACACAGACTTTGAAAAAGTCAGAGACAGCAAACTCCAGAAATGGATGGATGCAAAACTCCAAGGGCTGGAGAATCGAGACAAGCTGCCTAAGAAATATAGCAACAAAAATATCAAGAACCTAATCAGCCCAGCCAACAGAGCAATACAAGACATCAAACAAGACTACTCTAAACCAATGGACCTCACATCAATTAATGAAATATGTTATGCAGTAGCTACAGTAATCACAGACCTGAGTTACGCCAAGAAAATAAAAAACAAGGAAAAAGAAAACAGCCCAAATGGAAGACAGACATCGAGAAGGACATTCTCAAGAAGAGAAAAAATCTCTCTCTACTCACAGAAATTGAAAAAGGTACTACTAATAAAAGAAAAGAGAGGCAAATGAAGAAGAGGTATGACATCCAAGACACAACTGACATTGTGGAAGCAAAAGAAAAGCTCAAACAGCAGATACAGGCCAAGGCACAAAGAATCAGAAGATATGAAAAGAGAAGTAAACACTTCAGACACAACCATGTTTTCAAAGTTGACCCAAAGAAGTTCTACGGAGAACTTGGAAAGAAACAGATAGAAATCAAAGAACTACCATCTCTGGAAAAAGTAGAAGAGTTCTGGAGCAATGTTTGGGAAAAAGAGAAAAACCACAATGAGACAGCACAATGGATCAAAGAAGAAGCAGAAAGATTGAAGAGCCGACCAGTACAGGAGTGGACAAACATCAGCAAGACAGAAGTAATACTGGCACTAAAGAAAGCAAATAACTGGAAGTCACCTGGAGAAGACAAAGTAACTTCTGGCTGAAACATCTCAAAGTCATACATGAAGATCTTGCAAGAGAATACACAGAAATCATTAAAACACCAATAAAGAGCCCAACCTGGCTAACACAGGGTCTAACATACTGTATCTGCTACCCAAGACCATAGACACAAAAAACCCTAAGAACTACAGACCAACCACATGCTTACCAACGATGTACAAGATCCTCACAAGTATCATCACAGAGAGAACATTCACCTTCCTCGACAATAACAGCATGCTACCATCAGAACACAAAGGCTGTAAGAGAGGAAGTTATGGAAGCAAAGACCAACTTCTGATCAACAAGATAATACTGGAAGACAGCAAGGGGAAGAAGAAAAACCTGAGTACAGCATGGATCGACTACAGGAAAGCCTTCGACAGTGTACCACACTCATGGATCATCAAAGTAATGGAACTTCATAGAATCTCACCAACTCTCATCAACTTCATCAGAATCAGAATCAGAATAGGTTTATTGCCAAACAATTCACAAACTAGGAACTTGCTTCTGTACTAATGTGCTACATATAACGTGAATAATAAGATTAAAAATAGAATAAAATATAATAAAAATAAACTAGAATTAAAGCTGCAAGCAGCGTCGTTCGGCCCTCGCAGCGAAGCTGCTCGCCCTCCTTCAGCACCCCCTCCGCTCCATCCCCGACGCTCTCCAAACCCGGCTCCGCGCTTCTCCATCCTGGCCGGCAGCCGAGGGCATCAGGGCATGCCTGTCGGAACAGAAAGTCAGCCACCCCAACACCGGAAACCGTGAAAGGCCTCCTCGTCCACACCTCACCCTGACTCAGCATCCCTTCTGAGCCCACCATTACATGTCTCACCCCTAGGAGATACTCTATCTTTACCACACTGGTGATGTGATGTTCAGTCTCTGG